CTAGGCAGATGAACAGAAAAGAGACGCTCTTGGTTCTGAGACATGGTTAGCCTGGCCCAGCTCTCAGAGGTCAGGAGAAGCTCTTCCCCCACCTTCTCTCCCTCCTGGGGACTGGGAGCAGCAGGACTCGGAAAGCAGTGTAGGAGCAAGGTGAGCATACACCTGGCTGGGGAGGATGTGATTTTCCCGCTGAAACTTGGCCATGGTTGACGGCAGCATCCATCTGGTCTCAGCTGCCCTGTGAGGTCCCTCCTGTGCCCTCCCATGGGCACTGCCATCGGCAGGGGGTGTTCAGAAGTAATTTTGCTCACTGAAGCCATCTGTCAAATCTGGAGTTCCTTGAGTACCACTGTACAGGACTTTCCCCGCCTTGAACCTCCATTCCCTCTCAGTGCCATTACGGTAGGTGACCTAACTGCCACAGGCAATCCCTTCCTCACCCCTGCTGCCTCAGCAGCTTAGCACTGCAGGTCTGAAGAGCTGGTCTCAGAAGGAAGCAGAGACCCGAGCACCCAGTGGCATCTGTTCTGAGCACAGCATTGGTGGTGGTGACTTGTTTGCCAGATCTCCTGTTCCTATACTGACACTATCTCAGTGAGAAGTTCCAGGTGAAAGCTCTCAGAGATACTAATTAATAGCTGGAGGATCCCGGGATAACTAGCATTCTGACCAGATCTCCCAGAAGCCTTGGAAGAGGGGACATGGGAGATGCACCCATGCAGGGGAAGTTTAGCTAGGGGAAGAGGGGAGAGGAAAGAGCATGTGTCCATAGGGCAGCCAGTTACCACCTGAGGTCAGGGTATGTGCAGGGCCAGGATAATGCCAATGTTAGCCTTCACCCCCCTCTCAGAGAGAAGCTGCAAAGGGTTGAGTAAGGGATGGGCCTGCAGGAGTTGCAGAGGCTGAGAATAAAGCCAGTGCACTGGGCAAAGGAAAGGAGGTCCCAGGGAGGCAGAGGCGATGGCAGGCAAGGAGCTTCCTGGCCAAAAAAGTGCCTTCTCTAGTTTGGGGTTCTGGTCTGTGGACAACCCCTATTTTGCACTAGCCTCTTTCACTTCACTGCTTCCCCTGGCATCCTGGGAGTCTCTAGAACATGCAGCGAGGTTCACAGGCCAGTGGCAGCTTTGCTGCACCTGTCTTGGCAGAGGCTTGCATGTGGAGACAGAAGGACCCAGGCTGGAGCAAGGACCTCGACGCCCAGCTGCCTCAGCTCTGGTTCCTGCACCACATCTGCAGTAGAACGTAAAACAATACATAGTCTTCCCTATGGCTCCAAGTGACATGGAAACCACCACTCCTCCACAGTGCTCAGTGTATGCCAATTTCTCAAACTAAGATTTCATTGGGAACCAAAAAATGGTCCCTGGGGATATTGGTTGGAAAGCCATAGAGACCCAGTCCAGTTATATATTTTTCAAGTAAAGACTAGCTATATTTATCCCTGTCCCCCAGTCCCAGGGTGGGCTGAGAATGCCTGGTCTGTTTCTCTTCTTTCTGAAGAATTCAGGGATGGAAAAGAGCTGAGAAAGAAGCTGGAATTGGGTTTTTTCACTGAGGCTTCCAAACAATGGTGCCCAGGGTCTAGTTGGGTGTCATCCCCCACTTATTCACTCTCCCCCAGCCAGGAATGCAAATCTCCCATTGAGTAAAGGGAGCAGAGAGAGGAGAAGAGAGGTCCCTATCATCCAACCAGCTCCCCCCCCTCCCCCCCCACTTTCCACAACCACATCTATGCTAGAACAGGACACAGCCCCGGCCTTCCTCAAAGACGGTGTGTTTAATCACGGGGCACTAAGGAAAAAATGAGAGGCAATGACAGAGACACTCACAGTTCTTTTCTCCAGGACTCCAGGGTCTCCAGGCAAAACAGCCTTTCCTTGGCAGGCGCTGGCTATTTATACCTGCCCTGTAACCTGAGCTGCCCAGTCCCAGCTTTTGGAGAACTTTCTTCAAGAAGTGGGGCAATTTTCTTCTTTGTTGACTCATTCACTCTCACCCCCTGGGTTTGGAAACCTGCCACTGGTATTCATAACACTGTGCACATATCACCTTCAGTCCATGCCCACATGTGCTCCTCAGTGCAGACGGGTGATTGAAGTGGCATCATCGGTGTCTGTATTTTACAGATGTCCAGGAGCCCGAGATCCAGAGGAGACCAGCAAGTGGTATAATGAGCAATAACTACTGCAAGAGCAGCCTGCCTCTGCAGTTCCCAAGAGCCAGGATCCACAGTGCCCACTTCTCTTCCTCTTTCATCTCAAGCTCACTGCCTGGGAAAGAGCCAGGAACTCCTTAGCATAGCTGGGCAGGGTGCGGCAGGTAGATGTGCTGCAGAGGTTGGTGTAGATCCCCTTCTGGGGCAGCAGGGATGGAGGGGCTGCCACGTGACAGGGGTCACTCTTCTTACACCACATTATCACACCCTCTGTCCTTTTGTGGGATGGCCTTCCCTGAACATCCCTGTCCTTGCCCCGCCTCCCTCGCTGTGTTTGTCTAAGCAAAGCTCTAGAGCCCTTGGAGAAGCTCATAGGCTACTGGAAGCCATTCCAGCTTCCAGCAATGTGAGGCCCTCTCACTCTGACTGTGGTTGTCTGCGTCTTCTAATGTCTGTGACTTTACTTGTCCTTCAGTTCTCTGCGGATGTCCACACCTGAAGCCCATGTCTCCAGGCCTTTCCTTCAGCCACCCCATGGGTGGTGCTGATTTACCCCTGGCTTTTGATACTCCTTGGGAGCATCTCCTGTGTAGTGTAGAATCTATGATGCCAGATTCCCTCAGCAGCTAGAGAAGGTCTCCTGTTTCCATATTGCAAGCCTTATAATGGGGAAAGGAGAGTCTCTAACAAATGGTTCTGGGAAACTGGAAGGCCACATATGAAACAAAGAGGTTGAATTGCTCAATAATGCAACACACTAAAATAAATTCCAGATGGATTAAAGATTTGGATATAAAATGTGTAACAATTACATATATAAAAGACAACACTGATGATACCTTTTATTGCATCAATAATAAAGATGTTTTTGGAAAGGGAACCCTATGGCTCGGGAAATAAAAGCAAAAATAAACAATTGAGATGACCTCAAAAAGCTTTGACACATTGAGAGAAAATACAAGTAGATCAAAAACTCATCCTATGGAATGGCAGGAAAAAACCCACATATTACACAATTGACAAGGGGCTGTTATCCAAGATCTACCCGGAATTATTTTCTACTTTGTCTGGAGAGTTATGGTTAGAAGGAGCAATCCAATAATACTATGGTCCACTGGAATTTGCATATGAAGTGGCTAAGCTTGGGCCAGCACCAGCATAGGGGGTCTGGACCAGGGAAATCTACAGCCAAGGAGTCACATTACCCCAACTGGGTAATCAATGAATTTTGAATGGTGAGATTATGGACATTTTACTGTTTTTTTTTTTAAAGATTTATTTATTTATGCATACAGAACTGTGGTGTGGGCTAGAGGTGCAGGGGCAGTGAGAAGCTTCACCAGAGACTGAGGGGGGAGCAGAACAGGCAGATCGACTACACTGCTGAGGGGAGCAAGGGGCCGGTCAGGAGAGGGTTAGTCAGGAGAAGTCTGACCCACCATATGGATCAATCAGGGGCTGGAGATTGAACTGCACTGAACTGGCTTCTGCTTGCTTGCAGTGCTGTGCTTTAGCCCATTGCACCACCAGGGAGGGCCCAGATTAAGGACATTTTAAATTTGCAAGAGAATTCTAAATTGTTGGAGAAAACCTAAATAATAGGGTGACTTTATAAGGTGAATCAGCCATGGGTGAAGGCATCTGATTCCCCATGTTAACAATCATGGGCAGCACGGCTGGGTGAGCTTAGTTGTTAAGCAGAAAGTCATGGCTCCATAGCTGAGACTTTAAAGCAGTAAATGCCTCTGGCAGAAAGGAAGTCCCCTTGGGAATCCAACTGCCACTCTGTAACTGAAGGAGCAAAAATTATAAAAGACCACTGGTCAATAAAGTCAGAGACTTGTGACCAGCCAAGGAAACGAAAGTCCCGCCAGATGCCCTGTTGGAGAGTTCAGAGCTGTGTCATAGAGACAGTAAAGTGAGGTCCCTGATGTGAGCCAATGATGTGGGGAGGGGACAAGCGGAAACGATTATATTTAGGAAAGAAAGTGACTGTAAGCTCTGCATAGGTGTTCCGGATGGGTACAGTAAACAATATCCACACTTCTAAAAATATCCAGAGTATCAAGGCTGGTGGTGCCAGCCACTGCAGGAGGCAGCCCTCTGAAATGAACCTGTCAGCAACTAAAAAGGCAGCCCTCTTAAAGTAACCAAAGCGTGGTCAGAGTAATTTACAGTGATTGGTTTAGTACCGTGATTTACAGACCAAAGCAATATATTTTTCAAGGGCTACAAGTCCCTGTGGCAGGCCCAGGGCCCACAAAGTACCCCCCAGTAGAATATGACCAGGAAAGAGTATTATATACTAAAATTTGGGGGGTGTGGGAGGGTGGGTGGGGGGAAACACCAGCCAAGAATCAAAGTAATTCACGACATCAACAAAAGGAAATATAAACTATATGATCATATCAATAGAAGCAGAGAAGGCACCTGATAAAAAGATTCAGCATCCATGTGTGATAAAAAACTCACCCAAAAATGGGGACGAAGGGACGTATCATCAACACAATAAAGGCCACATATGACAAACCCACAGCTAACATCATACTCAACAGGAAGTTTTTCTCTAAGACCAGGTACCAGACAAGGACGGCCACCTTCACTAGTTATTCAACATAATATTAGACTCTGGTCACAGGTGTAAAGCACCCTCAAGCCCAGCACCTTTATCTTAAGCCTAGGAAAGTGACATTCAGCCAGAAGTCCCCTTGACCAAAAGAACAGTCTACCACGCTAGATCCCCGGAGCGGCAGCACTATCTCCGTTTCGGAATCCACACAAATCTCCCTCCGGAAGGAAGGGAGGAGCACTCCCCAAGGCTCCGCCCCAGTGCAGCGGCCTTTCTCTAGCCCACAGGTACCCAGCCCCGCGATTCCGGGGTGCTGTAACCATGGGGAAGGCAGCAGGCAATGAGGCATACTTCCAGAGGTGCAACCTTTTCTGGTGCGCCGTCATAACCCTCTCCTTTGGCTATTACACGGTAAGGACTCAGCCCCCTGCTCCCCAAACCCTAGCGAGAGGGGAGAACACCCCCATTCTATAAGGGTCCGCGCTTGCAGGCGAGAAGCTGCGCGATTTCGGCTCGCGCAAACTCAGCGCGTAAAGGCAACCAGACACTGGAGACAAAGCAAGAATACAAGTTGATCGGCTCTACTGCCTGAGAAACCCGCTGCCCAAGCTTTCCTAGTATGTGGGCGGGGTCGACACCCCACCCGGGAGACGCGTTCAGATCTCTCAAGATGGTGGCCCCGAAGGCCGACGCGGGCAGAGCTGCGACCGCCTACTTCCGTGCAGCCAGACCCTTGCCCTCTCTGGTGACAGTCCTGGCACTGGGCTATTTCGCGGTGAGGCGTGGGGTGGGAAGAAGCACTTATTTTGGCTCGCCGGGGCCGCGAAGGCCAAAGAGCACGAACGCGATCGTGCGCATGCGCTTCCGGCAGTTGCCTAGGTTACTGGAGTAAGCGGAAGTTCGGTGGGCTCTGGACTTTCTCTGCTTTAGTGGTCCTGCCTTTGGGTGCGTTTGCTACTGCTTAACTAGTTTGAATGGATCTGGCGGACGGAAAGCTAAATGGACAGACTGCTGTAAGCCTGCCAAGTCAGAATAGGGCTTCCAAAGCAGAATATTTCAGGAGGTTGAAATCGCTTGGAAAATGGTGATAAACCTAGGGAAAAACAGGATTTAATTGGCAAGAATTCGGAGGATATAAATGTTATGGCCTAGTTGAAGACGGGATCTCTGTTGAGAGTGTGAGTGACCTTTGTCTAGCTTCAGAATGTTTCTAAAAGATTACAGGAAAAGCCTGCAAAGTAAGTTGGAGGTTAAGTACAATTTGAAGTAAGTCAAAGCTATTTGGATAGTGCCCAGGAGATCTGGGATTAGAAATGTGTTGTCAAACCTGACCATTTTTGCCCTGAAGACAATCAGAAGTACACTCTGTTCTAGATTCTGCATCATAGACTAGTTAGAATATAGTTGGAGGAAAACTCTGCTCACCATCAATCTCCCAAGAATAGTTTTTAGAAAATAGACTGGAAGCCCCGACGATTTAAGAGTTTCTTTCATCTATATTCATTCCTATAGTATCAAGAATATTTCATAGCCTCTCTCAAAAATAAAATCACTGATTGAAGTAACCTAATAAGTGTTCTGTGACTGGTTCTCTTCCAGTGGGTTGTCTTTTGGCCTCAGAGCGTCCCTTATCAGAGCCTGGGGCCCCTGGGCCCTTTCACTCGGTACTTGGTGGACCATCATCACAGCCTCCTGCACAACGGGTAAGGAGAGTGGCAGGAATAGGATGTGGACGCTGCTGCTCCAGTCCTATTATAGATCTGGAAGCTCTGTGTTTGCCTTTAGATATCTGAGTGATGCTAGTTCACTTTAAGGCACCTTTCTTATTGGAGTTTCTATGTTAGAGCTCATCAGCAGAGAAACATCACCTTAAACTAGACCAATTTTTTTTTTTTTTTTTTTTTTTTTTTTTTAGGTTTTGGCTGGCCTGGCTGATTCATGTGGGAGAGTCCTCCTATGCCATGGTATTGTGCAAGTAAGTGTTTTTTGGTCTTGTTGCTTTTGTTACCTAATATAAGTTGAGAGTAACTACATTTAAATAATTCATGCACTAGTATGCTGAGAGCACTCTCAAAATAAGCTGAATCCCCACACCTAATGCTGAGCCTAACTTGGAGGGAATACTCAGTAAATATTTAATGATTGAATTAATTTCACTTGGGTTAATCAATACTTGTTTGATTTTGGTGGGGTTTTTTGTTTTGTTTTGTTATTTTAACATTTTTTTGTAGGGTCCCAAATAAAACAAAAGATGAAGAGGCTACCTTCTAATTTGGAAAAGAAGTGGACCTAGTTGGTAATTCTCCACTCTGGTTTCACAATGAATCCACTATAGGAGCTTTTGCAGAACACACCTTTCTGGTTTCTAGACTCAGAGATTCCAGTCCGGTTGGCCTTGCTTCAGACATGGAAATATATTATTTTAAACTCCACAGATAATTCTGAGATACCATGCAAGTTAAAAGCTCCATAACTAAACCCTACTCAGTAGATGCCAGGGTAGCCTAAAGCTATATGAAGCAACTAGACAAATTTCTGTTTAAGTTTGTGTTTTATGTATAATATATGTACATATATGTGTTTTTTATATAATATATGTACATATATCCTGTACAGAAAGTATGGTATGTAGTATAATGAAAAAATGGTTATAATAATGTCTCATTACTTTGCAATGAATTCTTTTCTGATCAAGATTAACTATCACTTCTGTCATTGCTGTATTACTTCGAAAAGTGGAAAACTTTTAAAGATACTTTATTACTACTACCTTGATATTTCATGTCATGTTTTTTCTAGAGTTATCAGAATAAAGAAGTTCCATTCTATCTAAATTTGTTGAAAACTTAGCAAAAGTGAATGTGAAATTTGTATTTATTTAGTATATATCAGGATAATCTTTTGATATTCCTCCTTTAATCTGTTAATGTGGAAAGTATATTGTTTTACATACATTTAAAATTTTTTTTAAATTAGAAGTCACCCACATGAGACTTATTTATATAAAGGTGAGACTGTAGCAAGCCATTTACTTTAATTAGAGTTTTGTTGTAAACAGCCTCATTGAAATGACTATATGACAGATGCTTCTTTTTATTCTGGGAAAAGCTTTTTACTAAGCCCCTGTGTGTATTTTAGCTCATGAATCACTTTAAAACTTGGTGAGATAAATATGGTTAGTCCTATGTTTCAGATGGGGAAACTGATTCTGAGAAAGTGAGTAGTTTACCCAAGGTCATATCTGGTAGTTGTCCTAACTAGGATTTACATCTAATCCATCTTCAGAATTCTTGCTCTAAAGCCAAACCAATGCCTTTTAACTCCATCTGCTGAGCAAAATCACGTGAGCTGCACTTTCAGATACCATGTTCCAGGCAGTAGCAAGACCGCTTCTCAGGAAAAATTGTCCCATCTTAGACGCACAGCAAAACTGAAAATAAATGAACTAACTTCGAGTTAAGAAGCTAGAGGGAAATGGCAAAATAAACCCAATGACAATAAGTAGAAGGAGTACATTTTAAGGAAATGAAAGACTAACTCCTATGAAACTATAACATTAAGAGTCTGGTGGCTAAATTTTTCTTTTATTCTTTTCTAGGTATAAAGGCATCACAAATGGTTGGGCTCAACTGTGCTGGATACTACAAACATTCCTGTTTGGGATAGCATCTCTCTCTATCCTGATTGCTTACAGACCGAAACGCCAAAAACAAACTTAAAGAAGATCTCTAAAAAGCTTCCTCTATGTTGACATTCAGTCTGACCTTTTAGGGGGGGGTGTTCTGTTTACTTGATCTTTCTACTTTCTAGAAAGTTGAAACTCTAATACAGCATTCTCACGCATATTCTGGTTGAGGTGAAGTAGACTATACTATAGGAAAAGATTTTAGTTTTCTAGTTCTTCGGACTATGGTGGAGGGCTTCCTGAGGTCCGTCCTCGACTATCTGGGTGCTCTCTCTTCGTCTTGTTGACACCCACACTGAGCGAGCCTGTTAGTATACCGTTGTTCCACTTTCTGCTTCAAGCCCTTTACCCTTAGCACCACCATCTTATCTTCCTCTCCCCAGTCTTTTCTCCTTTTCAGACCCAAGATCAAGTGACACTTCATTTTAACACATCTGCATTCCACACACATATTTAGTAATTACTTGTGAGACAGGGACTGATCCTCTCAAACTTTCATTTCTCACACAGCGAAAGATGAGGTGAGCACATGCTGGGAGCAGGCATTGAGTGATCACATAGAGAAACGAAGCACATGCTGACAGCTGAAGGGAAGAACTGGGGAACACCTTTCCTGCTCCTGCCAGTCAGAAGTGCCCCTTCCCTCTGAGTGGCCCCTGGGACACAGTACTTTGTAGGGTGCAGGGGTCTGATGGCCATTGGTAGATTGTACCTTCAAATCAGAATAACTTCCAGCTTTACTTTGCCCTTCAGTCCTTTTCCCACTGCCTTGCACACATGTGTTTTATCAATATTTATTGACCAAAGCACAGAGATTGACTTTACATTCAACTCATTCAGAACCATTACAATTTTCATGTGACAACTAGAATACCCATGCAGGGTACCCTTGTCTCAAAAGTAAAAGGCTACCCTACCCTAGTGTTGTACCGTGGTGCTGTGGGTCCCCTGATAGGAAGTCTGTCTTTTTCACACCTTCCTATTCTAAGCCATCTTCTCCAGACTCTAGATGTCTCCGTCCATTTCTCACTCAGACACATAACCATTCCTAGTCTAGAGAATCTAACCCAGGAGTTAGGTAGCTAGTTACTATCTGTCACATTTGCCTGGTTATACTGACTGGTTGGGGCAAGAGAGTCATTGACTCTGTCTCTTGCTCTGGTAAAATACCTGTGACCCCTAAGATCCATTATGGCTCCTCTCCTGGGAGACCATGTACGTGATCCTTCCAAGGTATAGTGTGGCCTGTTACTTATTTTAAGCAAACGTTTATGAATAACAGCCTCCTCCAAGTGAAAGAGACTCCAAGTGAAAGCAGTCCTAAAAGATTAAAGACGATGAGTTGTTTCTGGTGAAGGAGTAATTTCTACAAACATAACTGTCTTTCCTTTTTTTTTCTTATTATTCAAAAGTTACTTTTTGGTAAGGAAAATGATTTTTGTTCATAAAGCTAAAACTTCCTGGAAATTCAGCCCAGGATTAAAAGCATGGTTCTTACCAAAGAGAATTGTCAGGGACAGCTTATTGAATGAAATGGATTAATTTGAATAAAATGCTGTGAATTCTCCAATCAAATCGTGGTTTGGCTTTGTTTGACTTTTTATGCCTTTTGATTGTCGCACACTTGAAAATGATGTACAACTCAAATATCAGGGTTTTGAGTCTTGTTAGTTTAAGTGATAAATGCAAAAGGCCCCAAGTAGGATGTGTGTCCACCAGCTGCTCATAGACCCACTGACAAAGGGTTAACATGAGTATCTCCTTTCGTTCTGACTTATCCTTTTCTTTATTTTTCAGTCTATTTGATGCACTCTAGGTAGCAGGTTCTTACCTGAGTAAGAGTAAGAGTCTCACTTTTTATTTAAAAGCCAAAAGTGTAACATCCTACAATCTTATTTTGGGGTATTGTGGCAAAGAGGAAAATAGGTTAGTGAGCAAATGATCCAGGTCATTTATTTTATAGATTTTTAAGGTCAAATAACATCACAGAGACTAGACTTCCCTCCCCACTCCCCAGACCAGGAGCTTAGAACAGAGCCTTTGAAGCAAAATATAAATGGCAAAGCTCAGACCGGTCCAACTAGCATAGCTCATTTGGGATGCCATCAAAATTCTAGCTTAATCTGCTCCACTTTGCTGAAATTTTATTGAACTACTCAGAATATAAGATGAGGTCATGCTTTGGGTCCACTGACAATGAGTATGCTGAAGGGACTGTAGAGATCTTCAAATAAACACTCTCTCAGCCTGCATTTTACACGGGGTGAAACGACAAGGTAATGACCAACATCACACCAAAGCCAGTTTGGTGGCAGATCTGGGATCTCTGACTTCCCCATTTTTTTACCAAGTTGCCTACTAGTGGGAATGAGTGAAACATCTGATGTTCTCAACAGCATGCATCACCTCCCAAGTATTTCACAACTATTACCCAAGAATGATGCATTAACAGTGAGAATAGTTTCCACCATTGTTCATGGCCCTAAACCCCAACATCCTGTTCATGTTACTGGCGCCTGCCTTTGATAATGTATCCATAGCAATATACAAGTATTGTAAACACTTTGCAGACACAGGGGCTTTCTTGCCATTGTTGAGAAGAAATGGCAATAATACTTTGCACATGTACACAGAATAGAGGGATTTATAACATTTGCGAAACTTTAACATCTGCACAGCGAGACAGTTTGCCTGGCTTATGTTCTGGATATTCCAGAGTATTTCCTAGTAAACTGAAAGTAAATATGTTATGAAATTACAATGTTCAGTGTGTCACTAGTGTTGTCTTGGGATCCTGTCATACAAAACACTCCATCAGCCAGAGGCAGGGATGCCTAATGTGGTCCCATGATACCCTCTGAATCTGCAGGAACCCTGCAGCATGGCCTCCAGGTTAACGGGTGCAAACACTATGGACACCCACTGTGTACTTGGGATCGTGGACAGAGCCTTGCTTACAATCTTTCATTTAACCCTCCAAGAGGTTAAGTGCTGCCATCCCATTTTCCAAGTTAGAAAACTGAGACATAATGAAATTAAGTATCTTGCTAATTATCTTAACAAGTGATAGAACCGCGAATCAAACCTAGAGTCCCTGGTCTCCAAAACCTATGTTCATAACGAGCAGTCTGTCTTTTGATGGCAAGCTCCAAATAGAACCAGAGCATAAAATCTCCCCTCACATTAATACATTCTCTAGAAACACAGCAATCCACATATTTAAAATAGACTCCACCATCTAATTCCTTACATAGAAACCATTCCATCTCTACGTCAAGCAAGGCATCCGCGTGAAATGCCTCTGAAATAGCAGCCAGGACAAGGTTTTCCCGTCTGAACATGACTGAGCAAAGACTGGTTCCCCGTAATGAGTGGGTTTTCCCTGCCTTCCAGGAGAGGGGACTGCCAGCAAGCAAGGGTGGAGATTCCTTTAAGTACACAAAACTTCTAAATCCCAATTTTTCTGGCCACCCGACTTTCACTCCATTTCTACCCCAACCCCATGCCCACACTGCTCCCTTTCTCCAGCCATCACTGGGGGTGGGGAGGGGAGGCGTAGGTTAGTCACCGTCTTCCATCCCTGCAGAGAGGGCGTTGTGTGGCCCACACAGCGCTGAAGGCTTCCTAGGTTGGTGCCTGTGCCAGGACAAGCAGACAAGGAGTCTTTGTGCAGCTCCGACCCTCCCAGCCACCAAGGCTGGCCTGTGCCTTTCCCCCAATGCCTCCCGGAGAGATGGCCAGCCCTATTTCCTGCTTCCCTTGGCCCTTTGCCTTGAGCATGCGTTGAGGGAGCAAACCCCTGCCAGGTTTGTCTGTGGGGCTGAGCCAAGGTGGGAGGCCCGTGTAGCTCGGCCTGTGGAGGCTCCGCACCCCAGGGAGCAAATCCCACATGTTGGCGTGGTACCCCTGTAGCTTGGCCCACCTCCTAGCTCTGCAGCCTCAGCTGGGGTCACTGTGGAACCTGGTGCTACCTGCTAGGGCGATGGAAGCAGGAAATGAATGAGCTCAGCCCTCTGGAGCACTTCACTTATGCAGGCAGTCAGTCACTGGTGTTCTCCCCCCGCCTGAGGGTTGGTCACCGGAAGACCCCCACCGCCACCCAGTACCCGTTGTCTCTTACCTCCACCTTCCTGCAGATTCCCTCACTAACTTGTTCACCTGGGGCTCAAGAAGCCTGAGAGTACTAAAGATCCTGGATTTCAGAATTAGATCTATCTGGCTTTCAACCTGGGGTCTGCTGCCATCTAACCTTGACCAAATAGCCCTTATTTGCAAAATGGGGATGTGGGCACCTACTTTATAGGTTTATTGGTGCAAGGATTAAGTGAGGTAACAAGTGCAGTCTCATCACAATGTAGGGTCAAAGTTTAGCAAATAGCAGAATAGTAGTAAGTGGTACTTATTGTCATTAATTTCAGCTGGCACTAACTTGCTTTGAGACCTGGCATGCAGTTGGCATACTTCCCTCATTCCTGGCACTGATGTCAGTTTTCTCTATTTTCCACTTCATCTGTCATTTCTAGAAAATGTTGGAAGAAGGACACAAGCAAAGTGGGACCTTACCTACTATCTTGCCCAGACATTTTCCTCTAGTTGTTTAGGCTGATTTCTGACAGTGTGAAGAAATAAATAAATTTCCAAATTAAATTCAGCCAGTTTCTGGAGTGATTCAAGTTCTTCTAGTTCTAATGGATTTTATAAGAGAGCAGCTATATCTTGTAACAGCAATATTTTGTCTCCTTTTTATTTGTACTTTATTGCATTGATCGCCCATGTATAATTAATAATAGTGGTGATGTGGTATCTTTCCCTCATTCCTGGCCTTTTTTTTTTTTTTTTTTTGGTGCATATAACTGGGGTGTAGGCCAGAGATGCAGGGGCTGGGTAAGCAGTGACAGGATTCACCAGAGGCAGAGTAGGGAGCAGAATAGGCAGATTTCTGAAATACACTGCTGATGGGAGCAGTGAGCTGCACTCTCTGCACAAGGAACAGCTCCCTGGCCTGGATGGAACTCACAAACTGAGGCCCAGCAGCGCAGGGACACACTGAGACTCAACCTCTAAGTCACCAGGGAGGTAAAGAATACCTCACTACTTTCTCCTGCATGCATGTGTGAACTATTTAAAACAAATAATTATCTTGTTTAAGAAATGTTTATTTCTATGTCTTAAGAGTTTTTTGTATTTCTGCTTCTTAGAGGCTGGCTATTGAATTGCATTACATAATGCTTTCAATATTTCTTGAAATTATAAGGATTTTAATTTTTGTTTCTTTGTTCATATGACAGGCATGATAGCTATTTTTATGGAATTCCACTTGAAAATGAGTTAACCAACAATTTTTTATTTTCAAATTAGTGGTTGATGCACTCAAGGACATTAGAAATTTTAGGGCTGGGAGAGAAAAATTTCAATTTGAATCTCTCCTCGCAATACATAAAAGTTCTAAATGGAACAGAGATTATACCTTTTTTAAAAATCGGAAAACTATTTGGAGAAAATATTGGAAAATATTTTTATAGACTTGATGTGAGCGATCACAAGTAGGCTGTAAAGCTTAGAAGCTATAAAAGAAAATATTCAAATATTTTGCAACCAAAATACCTAAAACTACTGCATCATGCAAGACGTTATAAGAGAAGTAAAAGAGGACAGAAGAATGGAGTAAAATATTGACAGTAAGTAAAGAACAGGCATCCGATTACTCATCAGAATATTCAAAGAAGGGAAATATAAAAAAGTATTTGACTAGAGAAATACTTCACTCATAGTGAATAGCATTTAAAAATAAACAAACAAACAAAACCCAATACAGAGTAATGTCTTTCATCACCAAGTGATCCAAAATTTCAAAGATAAATATCCACTACTGGGTAATGTGCATCTAAGCTTGATAGATCTACAGCTTCAGGTCACTTTGTTATAGGGCACCCCAAATCTGTTCCAGAACAGGGGGAGAGGGACACCCCTGAAGCCCCAAAATCCTGCCTGCTCTAAGTGGGTTCTGCCATCCACTGCAAGAAGACAAAACATATAAAACTTTAATGAAAAGGGACTTTAACACAGTGAATATACAATACGGAACACAAAGAATATAACTTCTAAATCAAACACCTGAAGT